ACCAAACTGCTCTTTCCAAAGGAAGCCAAAAAAATCATATCGCCATGGCAACCCTAAACAAAGTTTGATCTGTTCCAGGCTCCCATCAACCCCTCTCGCAGGGAGAAACCTTTCCTGGCTCGCCTGGACCAGAGGAGCTGCATCCACAGCAGAGCTTTGACCGGACCTTTCTGATAGACCAACCGTTCTTGAAAAACCTGCTACAGTTTGGGAGGCGAGGAAGGGCTTGGCTTTGGATTGCACCCCCATCCCAGTGGTTTCAGCTCCCTGACAAGAGAGGTCTGGGATGGAGGTTGACGCAGATGGTGCTGCCTTCACCTATAATACTGGGATAAAAAAAAATGTCCTCCCAGGCACAGCTCCCTCCTCATTTTCAGGCAAATACAAAATCACACTTCCACCGGCAAGTTACATTTGTTCCTCCCACACCCACCTTCACTCATGTTGCCAGTAGCCCTTGAAACAGTCCCTGGCCTCTGTCCAGGAAGCTGAAAGGTCCCATCACCACAGTACACAAACATCTTATCTACATTTATTAATTTCTCTCTCACTCTGCAATCCGGGCTCTCACAGAGATGTTGTGGGGAGAGAGAGAGAAAGTGACAGGCCCAAGATCACACAGGGGAATTAGTGGCAGAGCCAGGAATTCTCTTACCCTCAGTCCACTGCTTTCACCACAAGGCTATCCTTTCTCTGGGTCAAGTGTCCTCTTTCTCTAAAGCCTGGCCCCTCAGGAAACCTCCTCTGTAGTCAGCTGTTGCCTCTTCAAGGCAGAGATGGGAAGTGAAATCCCAGCCCCATTGAAATCGATGGCATTGAGGTCACCAGGGCCAGGATTTCATCCTTTGTCTTTCCGTGCATCCTCCAGGGAAGCTTTCACTTGGCTTGGAAACATGGCACTGCCCCCCCCCCTCCCACATCCCAGACAAAATAGAGTAACCATGGCACAGGCCTCACAGCAGACACCATGCAGCTCTCTTTTCCCACACATTGGCATGCGTACGGTGTGTGCCGGGTGTGCCCAGGCACACCCTAATGTCTTAGGGTTGCCAGATGTCTGGTTTTCTACCGGACAGTCTGGTTTTTTGGGGCTCTGTCTGGTAAAAAAAATCCAGAAAATACCAGACATGTGAAATGTCTGGTATTTTCTGGTTTTCCAACTGGGCGCCCAGAAGCCTGGTGGGGAGAGTGGCTGGGAGGTGGTTGTGAGGAGGAGGGGCGGCCCAGTCCATGCTCCTGAATACTGGTCAAGCGTGTGGTGGAGCCGCAGCCGGACTGACTTGCACTTTGCCTGGACAGTGCTGGGGGCGGGAGCACTTTGGGATCTGCACTGCCTGGGTCAGTCCCACTCCTCACCAGCTGATATGCTCCTCCTCCCCACCCCCTACTGGCCGGCCGGTTGGTTCTCACCCACTTCTCCTCCCGATCTTCCCCAGCCAGCCCCATTGCACCCGCCCCCAGCCCTGCTTCCGGCGGCTAGTTCTCCCCTCCTCTCCTGATCTCCCTCGGCCAGCCCCACTGTACCCAACCCCTGCCCCCACCACCAGCTCTACCTCCCGCTGGCCGGTTCCTCCTCCCAATCTTCCCTGGCCAGCCCCGCTGCACCCCCCGCCAGTGCTGCTTTGTGCAGCCAGTTCTCCCCTCCTCCTCCTGAGCTCCGCCGGCCAGCCCCTCTCCCACTGGCCCTCTCCCCTTCCCTCTGATCTCCCCCAGCCAGCCCTGCTCTGCCTGACCTCCTCCCCCGACCGACCAGCTCTGCTTCCCAGCCCCCCATGAAGTGTGTCCGGTATTTTTTTTAAGACTACCTGGTAACCCTATAATGTCTAAAAAAAGTGGCTTTGCGTTTTAATTTAATCGCATGATACGCTCTTTTAGTTTTAAAGTATGGAGTGCTGTATTATGCAATAAGTGCCGAATTGCACATGTAAAAAACAAACTAAGAAGTACAATGTCCCATATTTAAGTTTGTATATTTAAGTAAAGTTTAGTTGTTAATTTAAAAAAATTTAAGTTTTAGTTTCTTTAGTTTGTTTGATGAATAAAAATAATGTCCTTTATGATCAAGTATTCAATACATGTTCACCTTTAAAAAAAATAAAAAATAAAATCCCCTCGGTGTACACCCTAATGAAATGTGCTGTGCATGCCTATGGCTACAGGGAGAGGGCAGCATCTCCCATTCACCCCATCCCTATACCCAGGGCATGGAGAATCAGCAGCCCTTGTTTTCGAGAGAAATGGTGCACCACTGTCCCCCCTCTGGGCACACGACACACACGGGACCTCTCCAGGCCTCTCTGGGGTGACAAAGGCCAGGGAGAGGGAATCCAGCCAGAGCCATGTTATGCAGCAAGTAGGTCACAGTGGCCATGACGGTACCTGGCACCCTACAGTTATAAGGCCAGGAGGTCTGTGCTTCCATTGCTGAGATGTAGGAGCACATGCAGCACTGATGTAAACCTGTGCAGCTTCCCACTGAGATAAGAGGAGCCATGTCTGCTTACGTCAGGGCTCCTCTCCATACTCCTGTCCTCTCTGTCCACTCTGGGACAGGTGACTAGATGCTCCTTTTTCTCGGCTTTCACTAACTTCCTGCCCTGCTGCCCTAGGGGCCTGGCATCTCCATCCACCATGGAGCCACAGTCACAAGAAATATAAAAGCAAACATACACGGTGTCACTTGTCTCGCAAAGCAGCCATAGCCAGAGAGCCCAGGTTACCAGAGCTTTAAGCATGTCCCACTCCAGACAAGCACATTGCAGTGTGCATGCTCCAAAAGTAAATGAGAAGCCCACTGGCAAGAGGTACCAATCATCCATGCAACGGGCTTGCACCATAGTCCTGACCTATGCTGCTGGGCATGACCAAGAACCCAGAGAACGCCCAACAGCCCAGTGCCAATGGCATGGCCAGGAACCCATCACCACAGCAAGAGTCCAGTGCAGCATCTACAGCTGACTGCATGGATCTGCTCTCCCAGAGGGAAAAGTCACCAAAATCCGATGAACTACAAAGAAGAGGGCTCAGTGCTTAAGCCTTAAGGAAGGATCAGGCAAAAAAGAGGCACTTAGAGCCAGACATTTGCCACTACTCAGCTGCAGGGAACAAACAGCTTAGAGCATTTGAAAAAGAGAGGAGGTGGATGATTACAAAGTCACCTGCCTTTGTACTAGCTGAGATTCAGATCTTATAGGCTATCAGACCTCACCCTTCAGGGCATGGTCTGATCCCCAGGTGAGGTCAGGAAGAAGTTTCCCCCAGTGCAAATTACAGCCCGGTGAGGTGCATTGTGAAGGGTTTCTCTCTTCCTTTGAAGCACGTAGTAATGGCCACTCCTAAAGAGAGAATACTGGAGTAGATGGACTATTGGCCTGCTCCAAATGAGCTGAAAAGGGACATGCAGGCAATGTTCCCTCAAAATGTTTCCATTCACTTGTAGAATAAATTTTGTTGTGTGCACCAAGACATGTGAAGGTGTGCACCACCTGTGGGAGCACATGTTGCCAGCTGTGGGCACTCTGCTAACCAGCTGGGCAGCATTTGAATCTCTCCTAGGCGGTCGCCCAAGCACTCAGCTTACAGGGAACACAGCATATGGACATCACCTTCTGCAATTCCACTAAGACCCTATTGTCTCATCCTGGCTGCTCATGCTGCCTCTTCGCACAGACTGTCTCCTGCAGGCTACACATGCAAGAGGGCCTCAGTCGCTCTGGTTTTGTGGAGGACGACATGGGGCTGAGATCAGAGAGGCTGAGAGGCAGCCTTCAATTATAGGAGACCACCTGGCAAAGTCAATCTGACCTCTCACCTTCCCCCTTCCATTTGCTTCAACATAAACCAACATTAAAGCTTAAACATGTCAGGTGCTGTGCTCCAGAAGCCCTTTTGGAGGTGACAAGCACAGAGTCACCACTGCGCTCAACTGCAAACCCAGCCAACTAGCCACAGAAGTGGCACAACAGAGATTCTGCACCAGTAGGGAATGACTAGGGTCGTCCTCTGGCCAACCCATCACCGGGAACCCCCTGCCCTTCTCACTCTCCACAGACAAGGCCCCACGTACCAGCAGTTCCTCTGCCCAGCAGGAGAAGCAGCAGCCAGCCCAGCTGTAAGTCTTGGCTCAGCATCACCCCTGCCACGTAGCTCCGCAGGGTACCACGGTCTCTGAGAGAAGGATCCACACAAGGCCACGGAAATGATCTGCCTGCCTAGGGTCTAATACCACGTCCATTACCGTGGCATCTGGGCTAAGGCAATACTGAGCTGCATTCTGTGTGTGTGGAGAGGGATACCCCTTCGATGTCCCTCTGAGCCTCTTCTCCCTCCGTCTCGTGTCCTTGGAGCTCCCCGGGGGCTGCAAGCTCTCTTGCCTCATGGACTTTGCCGTCTTCTGTGCTACGTTGATAGCGTTTACAGGGCTCTACTCGGAAACTCTTTTTTTAAACCCTTTCTTTGTGGCTGCCCCAAGTCTCCTTGGATACGCGGCTGCAGCCCTCCCTTCTCTAAAGGTCTCTGTGGAGAGAGCTTTCCTCACACACACAGGCAGCTGCTTTTAACTGATCCTCTTCCTCTTCCCTACCCCCCCCCCCCCCTTCTCCCTGCACAGCAACCCCTGCCGGGCTCTGGGACTGACTGAGACCAGGGAACTCCCTCAGCCTTTTCTCTCATCTCTTCAGGTTCACAGCACCCCTCTCCAAGCAGCCTCTGGCTGCCTCCTTCCCCTGCTGCTCAGAGCATAGCACCTCTCCAGGATGCACTTGGCATTTCCCCATCTCCTGAACTGACACTGACTCTCCCTCTCCAAACCGCCTTGTCTAGCCACACCCTCTCCAGATGCCCTGCCATGCCCCTTATAGATTAACCTGCCACGCCCCTTACAGATTAACCTGCCACGCCCCCTGTTGCCACGCCCCTTACAGATTAACCTGCCACGCCCCTGGCTGCCACACCCGCTCCGGACTCCTCTGCCTCCCCGTCCTGCCTTGTTCACCGCTGTCACCCCGCTCCAGACTGCCCACCCATGCCCTGTTGCCACATGCCCTCTACACCATCCTGCCACTCTTGCTGCTCTGCCATGCTTCCTGCTTCTGCATCCCCTCCAGACTCTGCTGTCCTGGCCCTGCTTTTATGCCCTCCCCAGGCTTCCTTGTCATTTGCTTGTGCTGCGGCTATCTACTCCTTTTTCCAGGGTGTGGGTCAGGGACAGAAGAAGGGAAGGGAGCAGGAAGGACAGGGTCACAACCTGCCATTCTTCCTCCCAACACCCAGCACTGCAATGCACCACGGAAATTCCCCAGACACTTCCCCAACTCGCGGGGAGGGGGCAACACGACTGAAAAACGCCTTGCAATATCTCACCCCGCATCTCCTGTCCACTTGGTGTCTTCCTCCTCCAGAGGACAGAGAGGTCAGTGCCCTGCTGGCTATGGATCCAGATGTGGACGCTTTCTCCTCTTCCCACTGCCCTGGGGCACTCTATGCCCACTGGCCCCACAGGCAGGACCACACTGACAGCAGCTCTGTGTAGCACGGACCGGCCCCCGACCTGCGCTCTGACCACCACCACGTAGTTGCCAGGGAGGGCATACATATGTTGAGCTCTTGGGCCGCTGCTGGAGAACTGCTGCCCTCCGTCTCCAAAGTCCCAGGCATATAAGGTCTCAGGCAGCAGGGTCTCTGTGGTGAATTCAATCACCTCATGGAGACTGTAATGGGGAGGAGCAGAGAGCGAGAGACTCACCTGGCAGAGGGGAGAGAGGGAATGAGACACAGAAATACACAGGTAGTGATCTGATCTCAGGTCGCCAATGCCCCAATACGCCACGGCAGAGCTCTTTTCCATCTCTCACTCCCACAACCTCTCTGCTCCTCCCCACCCCTTCCACCACCACAGACAGGCCCTGTCTCCAACCCCTCTGTCAGGTGGGGCTCCATCCAACCCCCTAAATCCCTATCCAGAGCTCCCTCTAGCCACTTTTCCTTTTAGCCTCCCAGAGGGTGCCATAAGCCCACATCCAACTAGCACAGGCTGCAGCTGAAAACCTCTCCCAGAGCCAGCTATCGCAGAGCAGCAGCCTGTCCTGACTGGCTGCAGAAGAGAAATATGTCACATTCAGGGTCTGTCTACACAACAAAAGCTGTACACAGGCGGGCTTGCTTAAGCTAGCGTGGGTATCAAAGGCAGGGAGGTCAGCACAGTTTGGGTCCAGTGCGGGTAGGACAAGCCTGGCACAGACCTTGGTACATCGTCAGCTCACAAGCCTGGGCTGCACTGTCTCCACTGCTCTTGGTACCTGTGCAGGCTGGAGTCAAGCTAGCTCAGGCTGAGCAGGCCATGCAAAGCTTTAGCTAAGTGTACCCTCGGACAAGACACTGTCCTAACTTGTGGTGCGGTTACCTGGACAGGGTACACGGCATGGACGACTGTTTTATTGCACACTTGGCTCTGGATTTCATTGGAGCACACTTTCCCACACTCCATGGCCACTTTGCTGCCTAGTGATCCACACAGGCAGCGGTCCTCCAAGTCCAGGCCGTAATGGGTGTGTGCCTTTTGATAGCAGAGCGCATGGCAGGAGGCCTGACTCTGCGTGCCAGGGTGGAGGTCGGAGTAGTGCAGGACCGTGTCTCTCATGGTCTCTGGGTCCTTCACACAGGAGATAAAATCATCCGCTGAAAGGAAAAGGGAGCTAGATAAACCCTTGGCTGGTCTGTCATCAGCGAACGAGTAGGGGGCTCAGTGTGGCAAAGAGCCCTGTAGATCAAGTGAAGAAAGTTGAGCCCAAATGCAAATACTGTACCGAGGCACCAACCAAAACTGCCAAGGGGAGCTAACTGCAAAGGCTTCTCTGGAAACAGATACTTGGTTTTGTACTGCTTGGAACTGTGTGTCACCATTTGCACCTGCCCAGAGTGGGGATAAATTGGTGAATTTGGCTTTAGTGGTATTTTACATCTAATATCTCCCCCTTCCTCTGGTATGTCTTGGCACAAATATAAACAACTCCATGAAGTGCCAGCAGAGATGAATCAGACCTGCTCCTTTTCTCTTTGAAACTCTAGACAGGCCGATTCCAAAACCTGGCCAACCCAAATCCTGATGAACCCAGGAAGTTAGATCTCCTGGTGTGGGGTCGGATCCTGCAATTCAGGGCCATCCCTGTTCCGAATCACCCATTCTCCTCCTTTGAAACTTCCTCCAAAAGTGGGTGGAAATTTCTCATGCTCCCTTTCACTCCAAGGGGGATTTTTCTTTTAAATTAAAGTTTCAGCAAAATCTGGTTAGCTGTTCTTTAGGTTACATCACGCTAGGTCACAGTGGCTAGGAACACCCCAAGCCCTACAGTTATAAGGCCAGGAGTCAGACTAGCTGTGGACTCGTTGCTCTCCTCGCCTCTCAGGAATACCCTACAACTACACAGGTCTTTGGCTTTGTTACTCTCTTAATTCCCTGTTTCTCTGAGGACTTTCTTTTTTACATTTGTAAACCCCCACAAAGAGCGAAACCCTAGCTCTGCTGAACTCCACAGCAAAACTCCTGTTGATGTAAGTGGAACCATGACTTCACCGTACACCTATAATAAGCCACCCTTCATCGCACAATGCTTTGCACATGGACCTAGGCTATCTGGAGCTCTCCCAGTTCACTGAGGCCTTGGTGAAGTTTCTGCTCTAGGGAACCTGAGGTGACCTCCTGGGTCACCTGTTCTTTCTTTAACCCTGAAGCAATTTTCTGATCTGACCTCTCCTTCCTCTCACCTAGTTTCTCTATCCTATCTGGGTCCTCCTGGTCCAGCTCATCTTTTCCTACAGATTCTCTCTCATTCATCCATCCCAGTTACTCTCCTGAAGCTCTCCGATGGGTCTGAATCAGAATCCTGCATCTGCATCAGTCCTCAGGGACAGCATGCTGAGCCAGGCCCTACAGCTCCGTGATTTTGCTTTGTACCAGAGTCTGGACATCTGTGCTTGGCTCTGGCAGATGAGTGGTTGCTATGGGAAGGGGCATCCTAACCTCACAAGGGGAAAACTCCTGGAGTCTTTCCAAAAACAAAACAGAGAAAAAACGTCCATAGAATTGGATGGAGGAGAGCCAGAGAGGCTTCACGCTTTGGCAGCCTGTGAGGTACCTAGCTCTTGATTTTCCCAGGTGAAGTCAGAGAGTCCAAAAATACAAAGGAGGGGCTGGACAAAGGCAGCTCCCTCACTACCACAGAGCACCAACGGGAACATTCAAACCACTGTGTTCATGAGGAATTCTTCCACCCCCTACATTCATAACACATGCCTGGGATGCTTTGCCAGGCTCACATGGGCTGGGGTGGGGGCAACAGTTGCAGAGGAGTCTGATGCTTGGAATTCCGTCACGGATCTGGGATCTTCCCTCCCCCCCAAGGCCAGCCTCTCCAGCAGGGCTCGGGGTGCCATGGCTGGGGCGGGGGGGTCACTCACCACAGGTCAGAGCTGAGAAATCTGCCTCCAGTAGCCCGATGCTGCTGGAGGCTGTTGGCTGGAAGCAATGGAACATCTCTGCATCACTCATGAGCGGGCGCTTTTCTCGCACCCAGGCCACGAGCCAGCGCAAGGAGCAGCTGCACACAAGGCTGTTAGAGACGAGCTTGCTGTGGGATGCGAGTGGAGGAAAGGGAGGACAGTGAGAAGGGAAGCTGGGCACCTCTAGACCCCTCCCTCAGTCGGTGTAGAGAGCCCCACCCCCCAAATGGAAGAAACACTCACCAAAATGTGGGGGGAAGTGTGAGGGAGGGGGTATGGGGGATACAAGGATGGGGAGAGGAGGGATAGGGACAAATACACCAAGGCAGGGAGACAGAAGGAATAGGAGCAGGTGGAGAGAGGTCTGAGAGGAGGCCCATAACCTACAGAGATTGCAGCCTGCCCAGGTGGTGGAAGGCTCCTTCCTCTATGGTGTGGATACAGTTGTAGCTCAAATCCCTGCCAAGGAAAGACCAGAGAGGAGACCCTGATGAGGGAGGGGAGACAGCTCTGGGCCCTGATTCCTCACCAGGAGGGAACAGCCGGGAGTTCTGCTGGAAAGCTCAGGCTAGCATGCAGCATGCCAGGGACTGTGTGGAGCTCAGGAGAAGCATGGCTTCTGGATACTGCAGCCCCCACAGTGGCCAGCAAGCTTGATTAGGGGTGCCACTGAGGCCGGTAGCATCAGCTTCGTGGGCCGTTGAGCATCTGGGCTGAAAACATTGCCAATAAGGAGTCAAACCTGTTGGGCCCTTTCTTGCCACCCAAATTGGACTGTGAAGTAAGTGACAAGCTGATGGGGAAGGGGTGGGGGCTTTGGCTAAGGCAGGGGTCAGCAATAATTTTCACAGGAGGCATGGGTGGTTGGTGCAGCTGGTGTGGCGGGAGGCAGGGTCCCAGCCACACTTATAGCCCCGCCCCCTCTCTCACCACAGGGAGGGGAAGAGATGGGAGGGGTCGAGCGGGCATCCATGCCCCAGCCTCCCTGGCTTCCGGAGCACCAAGGACAGAGGCTGCTGTGGGCTACAGCCTCCCTAGCCTCTGGAGCACTTGGGAGGGAGGAGGCCATGCAGCCTGAGCCTCTCCAGCCCCTGCAGTACAGGGACAGCGGGTGCCGGGGGCAGCAATACTACAATAGGCGTTCTGGGGGCAGAGTGTGGGCAGAGGTTTAGGCCCCGCCTAGGCTACCACACACCAATGCAGGGGGCCACGTAATAAATTTTGGTAGGTGGCCATGGGCTATCTCCATGGTGCAGGAGGGGCGGGGCTGGGGCTGAAGGTTTTGAACTAAACACAGCAAAGGGCTTTTGGCTCCTAGCCTTGTTGCTACTGCCTTGCCTGGGAGCTACCCATGGTTGCTACGGCTATTAAAGGGCTCATGGCTCCGGCCCCTGCCAGGATAGCACCACTACCAGGAGCCATTTCAATAGGATCCTGCTGCCTGAGCCGCCGCCTGGAAATTCAGTGGCACGGGCAGCAGGATATAAACAGAAAGACGCCAGATGCCGTCCATGGGCTGGATCAAAGTGTTAGGTGGGCCGGATCCAGCCTCCGGGCCGCATCTTGCCCAGTCCTGGGCTGGGGAGTGACTTACAGCACTTGGAGGCTGGGGTATGCGGCAAGGTCCTCTGCTCGGACTTCGCTCAGGTGGTTGTGGGACAGGTCTCTGTATTGAAAGCAAAGTGTTATTTGCACCCGGTGCAGGCCCTAGCACCGCTTCCTAGCAACAGGCAGCATGAAATGCTCACAGGGAAACCATGAATCACACGGCCCTCACTTAAAGGGCAGGATACTGGATGGGGAACGGGGACATTCGGGTCTCTGCTCTGCCCTGGACTTCCCATGAGGCCTGGAGTGGGTCATTCAGTTGACTGTGCCTCCATTTTCTGACTGGGGATTGAGAAACCTGCCCTGGGTTCTCCAACTGCCCCACAGAGATGAGGGGGCTGGTACATCTGCCCTGGGTTCTCCAGGACTTGGGGCCTGTATTTTAGGCAGATCCAGAAGTCAGCCCAGGAGGGAAGCCTGGGGAACGTGCTTAACTAGTCATCTTGCGTGTTTCCCCAGGAGGCTGCTGTCTGAGTGCTTCTGCCCTGTGAGCTCAGGCTCTGCCATGGCTCCTCATTGATGTGGTGGGCAGGGGCAACAAAGGGATGGGAGTTGCTCTATCACAGCTTTGCTGGATGTTTTAAATAAAGTCCACATTCCTTTGCAGCAAACATCCACTCCTACTGCTGAAGACTCTCCCCTCAGAATCCATAAGGAGAAGGTCTCGGGGGAGGGAAGCCGTGGTTACATTAGGAAGAAATTTAACTAATTAAAGCTCCTCACAGTTCTAGTCATCAAACCTCCTCTTTTGCAAGACTCTGTAAACCTCACTTTACGAGGAATAAGGGGTCTTGCAAAGAGGGTTTTTTTCTGACATTTGGTCCAATCTACACAGGGCCAAATATCGGAAAAACCTTCTCCACAAAAAGAATCGGAAGAAGATATGCAAATGCGAGCACAATTTGCATATCTTCTTCTGGTGGGGGAAAAAAGTCAGTGTAACTGTAGCATCAGTGACTTACTGGCCCTGCAACAGGGCTCTCCATTAATGCTCTCTTGAGGGTCCCTGAAGTGGGCCCAACCTGGTTCCACTGGGAGGAGGCGGGGAACTATGCCAGCAAGTTCCTGGGCTGGTACTGGGCCATGCTGGGAGGATGCAGACTGGCAAAGTTCAGACCTGAGTCTCCAGCAGGCCACAGTCCAGGGAGACAAATCCAAGCTGTTGATTTGCCCATTATAAGAAGGAGCCATTTGCATAATCCACCTTCACCCAGGATTTTGGGGGTATTTTGGATCTAGTGTTTTAGATTGCCCTCCCTTGTTATAAGCTTCACTGGAGGGAAATTTAATGGGAAACGCTCAGAAGCAGGAGGGGGTGGGGGGAAGGAGGGAGAAGCTTACACTATAAGGTCATTCAGTGAGATGGGCCCAACTCAACTAAGTAGAGAACTCTCTGGAAGGTCCTTCTTTATGCAAGAGTATTGCTGGCCTGCCCAGCTGCCACCTGCAGGGTGACAGTAACCAGGGCTGCCCAGGCCCCAAGTCTACCGCAGCCAGCAGGGACATGAACAACCAGTTCTGTTGTCCCAGGTTACAGCTTTGGGCCTGCAAACTGTGGGTGATCAGGCCTCGTTTCCATGGCAACTGGTGGGAATGAGGAGATAAATATTGTTTTATGGGTTTCATGCTGCCACGCTGACAGAGCCTGAGAAGCCACAGAGTCTGGAGGGCCATTGGCTGGAGCTCCTTAAGGAGGTGTACCACAGCACCGTCTCCCCTGACAGAGCCCCATGCCTTCTCCATGGCAGCCCCTGTTAAACCAGCCCCTCCCTTCCCGTCAGCCACTGGCAGAAGGAAGTACTGGACTCTGGGAAGAATAAGGAATAAAGATTTGTTCCATCCTTCTGTAGCATCTGTATAGTAGGACATGTCAGTGAAGTCTCATAACCCCTCCGGGGAAGAATACGACGTTCATGGAAACTGAGGCCCAGAGCATTTACGCAACTTTCCTGACAGGAGGCAGTGGCTGAGTCAAAGATAGAATCCAGCTCTCATCTCTATTGCAGTTTGGTGCTCAGACTAGGCCACACTCCCTGCTGTAACTTAAGGAGCATCCTTCTCCCAAAATTACCCTGCCTTTGATGTTCATTGGCCACCTAATAGACATGAATGAGGGCAGGATCTCTCAGGAGGGGGAACTGAGCCACCCAGACACTGATTTGAGCCCGTCTGCTGAAACCCGAAATTGATCTGGAAGGCAATTTCACCGGCACTGGTGCTGACAAAACCTGTGTGCCCAACTAGCTTGCTGCAGTGGCCCTTGTCCTCCAGCAACTGGGCAATGAGAACTGTGAGCAAATCCCTCCCTGCCCTCCCAACAGGATTCCAACAGTCTCCAGCCTGAAGCTGTGGGTGCGGATCTTGCGGCTCACTTAACCTGGTATCATGGATGTGGGTGCAACGTCCCTGGGACGCTGCTGTCACTTTATCTTACTCTTGCAGTGGGCACAGCTGCCATTAAAGAATCATCACTGAAGATTAACACAGTGTAGCATTTTCTTCCCAACAGTCTCCATGTATTTTGTCAAGGTAGGTGCAGCGTTATTATTCCTGTTTAACGGCTACAGCAGCTGTGGCTTTGAGCAAATCATAACTCCTCTAGGTCAGCAAAAGGGATGGGACTCCAAACCAGGGTTCCTGAGTCCTGTGCTCTAACCACTAGGCCCCAGTTGCTCAGAGGGCCTCCCTGAGTCCTGTGCTCTCACCACTAGGCCCCAGTGGCTGGGAGGGCATCCCTGGATCAAGGACTGAGATCCTGGATTCTTTGTGCAATGCAGTAATTCCCAGGCCTCCTCTGAGAGTGGTCTGAGAATGCAGAGGGAGGATCTTCAGGAGAGGAGGCTGGAGCACTGCTGTTGATCTCCCTGAGACCCCACAGGCCCTTTCTCCGAGTTCAGAGGCCAAAGGGAGGCAGCGGAGGAGTGAATATTCCTTGGCAGACTCCCCAGATCAGCTGGGCAGAGCTCTGGGATTTCATTAATGTTCCATCAAGGCAGCCTTTTCTCAGAACTGGCACTCCCCCGCCTGTAGGGAGAGCACTGCCGAGCACCTGTAAACAGGCTGCTGCCCTCTCCCTGCGGGCGGTTCCTCTCCTCCCAAGAGGCAAGGCTGGATTCACAGCCCCTCTGAAAGCAACACCCCTTCCAGGCAGGGCCCCCCTGCAGCAAAATACTCACAGGACTGTCACTCTCCAGGAGCAGGGCTGTGCCATAGGAATCTCTGCCAGCCCCAGTCGAGAGCAGTTCACTGCCATGGAAGTGCAGACGCAGCTGGCTAGGCATGGAGTGGCTTCTTCCAGTGCTGGGATCTCCTTGTGGCACCTGGCTCTGGCTGTTGTGGGCATTCTCATCCCACTTCCAAGCTCCTCTATTCCTGCCCCTTCCTTGTTGTAAGCTAAAACCCTGTCTTTGCTGGTCCCTAAATCTGCCCTGCATCTTCCAGTGCCCCATGGCTTTGGAGGTGTTGCCTTCAGCCCCATCACTGCTGGGTTTACTGGTGTGGCCCCCTCAAGTCTAGACCCTGTGCCAAGGCTGCACAAAAACAGCGCCCCAAAGAGGAGAGACATGGAACTGCAGGCAGCCCTAAGGGCAGACTGACATACCTGCTTTGCCTTGCAAAGAGCTCTAGCTTCCATGACCAGACTTGAAAAGCCAGTTGTTAAAGCAAAGCTGTTGGTTCTCCCCTTGCAAACAGGCCCATCTTTACAAAGCTGGCATTAAAGTGACAGCCCCAGGTAGACCAACCCACACCCTTCTGCTGCGTTTACACTGCAGCCTTGAGCTCAGGAGTGAAACTGGCTTAGAAAACAGAAGTGATATCACTAGCTGACTTTCATTTTTCAGATTCTAGAGATGAAGCAAAAAAAGGGGAATGCCCATTTCTCTGAGCCTTGGCACATGAAGTGTTAGAAATAACAAAGGGGAGGAAACTGGGGGTGATAAGAACATATGTATGAATTTGTAATGGAGCAGTATCCAGCTAGTTCGTTACAGACCAGGGTGGTACCTTGTACTGTGGGAGTGCTGAGCAATCTCAAGCAGGGATCAAGGCCCCTGGTACCAGGTAATGTATGCCCACAAAAAGTCCCTTTCATAGCGAGTGTCATTCAATAAGGCAAGATGCAGCAAACGGGCAGCATGCAAGGTCACATGGAGATGATTATAAGCAGCATGAAATGCCTGTCAGCAAACACTTGCCACCTAGCCATTGGCACTTTATAAATCTCACTTCTCTGATCCAAAAAGCGTCACCCCACTCCCCTCAGTAGTCTCATCCCACTCTAACTGGGCAGAGATTTTTTGTTAACAGCAGAGACAGGCAGTGGCACCTGCCTCCTGTTACAGACACCTTGCTGTACATCTGCTAGAGCACTAGGAGCAGAAAGGAACAAATGGAACAGAAAGTTGTCAAAACAAAGGCAGGGAGTGTGTCAGCACAGATTATGTGCTAGCATGCTTGTTTGCTGACTCACTATTTGCAAAACTCATCAATTCCCTGGAGATTTCCCCAGGCACGCCTACGAACTAGGGAGGCTCTGTGGCAAGTCCCCAACCCAGCTCACCGTATCCTCTCTGCAGATCCTAAGGCACCTGCCTGAAACCCTGGGGCTATGTCTACACAGCAGCGATATTTTGGAATAACTGACATTACTCCGAAACAACATAGTCTGCATTTACACAGCAAGCAGCTATTTCAACATAATGGCAAAATAATGGCAAGCTGGAGGACTTCTTACTCTGATTCCTGTAGCCCTCATTTCATGAGGAGTGAGGGAAGTCGGAGGAAGAGGGCTCTAACTCGGACTTCCGACAGCGCCAAAAGCCGAAATAAGCTATTTTGACTTAAGTGATGCAATTGACGTCGCTCAAGTTGCTTAGCGTATTTTGGCTTTAGCCCTGATGTGTAGACATGCCCTGGGACTCCTATGCTTCCCCTTTCTGAGAAACCCAGGACTCTTGACTACCTCCTCAGGATTCTCTCTGCCACATAGCTGCTTCTCCTCTCCTTCCCTGCTCCTGGCCTCCACACTCCCCCACTAGCTCTCTCCATCCAACTCCCTAGGGTTGTTCCCACACACATTGGAAAGAAGGCCCCAAAAGAGTTTTAAAAACCCTGTTGGTGTCTCCTGACTGACATGGGTCAAGGAAGCAGACCTGGTATCTCTGGCACTTGCAGACGGCCCTACGAATAGTTTGCGATTCCTCAAGGTGGTGTTGTTATTGTGCCCTCTGTTTCCACCCTGGAGCTCAGCAGCAATTTAATCCAAGAGTTCTCTGAGCACAAGTGTGGGCTCATTTCATTCTATTCCCACCGCTCCCCCCTCTCCACCCCAGGGACAGAGCAAAGGCCCCTGAGAAACTCACTTGTGCTTTGTCCACAAGCTCCTTCCTGCTACCTCACCAGCAACCGTTCCTAGAGAAGTCTTCCCTCTGTAGTGAGTAAATTCCCCGAATGCTCAGTGAGCAGAAGAATGCTGAAGCTGGGAGGTTTGGAGAGCAGGTTGGAATGGAGAGATTTGCTCTGTGTATAAAATATATGATCTGTGAAATCCGAAGTCTTGAGCAACAGCTACCTCCCCTTGGTGGAATCGGCTTCTGCGGGCCACTAGCTCAGCAAAGTCCGGGAGTGTCATTTCCCATGGGGGAGGGTATTGCCAGTCATCACCTGACACCCTCCCCACCACTGCTAAACTTCAACAAACAAAACAGGCTTTTCTCCCATGCTGCTGCTTATTTGTGGATACCCCTGCCATCCAGGGCCTCTATTTCCAGCCTGGTGGTTCCTTACTGAGAGTGGCACTGGTTTAAACCAGCAGGCCCTTGTTCCAGACTGTCATGGCTACAGCGTTCCTCATCCCTGAGGTCCCTGGAGGCTGCTTACAGTGGCATCCTGCAAAACACAGACACTCAGAGGGAAGTCGGCGTCTGTTGAACTGGGCTGCATGGCCTTGTAGCACGGGTCTTGCCTGTGCTGCCTGAAGTCCTGGGTTTAAATACCAGGGGAACCCTGCCTAAAAATGACAGCCCCAGAACTGTGGATGTGAAGGTAGGGAGGAAAGGGCAGTGAGCCGTGGACTACAGGGACTAGCTCAGAAAGGTGTGGATGTCTCAGCCTGCTTCTCAGTTCAGTCTATTCGAATTTACTGGCAGAATGAAGACCTGTTGGGCACTGCTAATATTACAAGCCAGCCCCAATTCTGATCAATGCCACATCTGCAGGCTGCTCCTGACTTCTCAAAGTGTTTCCAGTATTTGTCCGGATTCCCTGAGTGGCTCAGAAGGATGCACATATTCTGACGGGCAGATTATTCTGCCCATTAGCCTGCATCACATGCTTGCTCATCTCTCCAACCACTCCCTAGAGCACAGGTGGGCAAGATATGGCTCGTGGGCTGGATCTGGCCCATGGCCTACCCTCCTGGGACACTAGAGCACTGAGCAGCGCCACACCACTTTAAGCAGTGTGACTGCTCCCTGTGACTCTCTGCTCTGGGCACCAGGGGGAGGCAGAGGTTTTGGATACTGTCCCCACCGCCCAGCAAAAACTGTCAGCTCCCGTTTACTGGCTAGAGCCTGCACTTGGCACTCCCTGCCCCAGGCCACCATCCCCTCCTGCCAAAGGTCACCACCCAAACCCTCTGCACTCCTCTTCCTCCATGTCACAACTCCCTTCCAGATCATGAACTCCCTCTCAGACCCTACACCCTCTCCTGCACCCCAGTCCCCTACCCTGAGCTTCCTTCTTCACCCAACCTCCATCCCAGATCCCATACCCCCTCCATTGAAAAGTGTGGCCCCCTTAACCACTTACCAAAATCTTGGAGTGTCTCCTCCACATCAAAAATTGCCTAGAGAGTGAAATAACCTCCTGGAGACATTAATACACCAAGAGTATAATTATTTAATTTCCCTGGAACTCAGCTAGGTCACAGCTGTAGGAGAAGCCTCAAATCAGAGCAGGGTGAAGGGGATGGCATTTCTGTGGAATTTTTGCTCTGGTTTTCCATTAACTTTGACATTCCAATGTCTCTCTGCTCCTTCCCCTTATCTGCAACATCCCTGGCAACACATTCCACAGCCTGACTGAGTGCTGGGTGAAGAAATATTTCCTTTTGGTTGCCCACTGATTTTACTGAGTCACCCCAGGTTCATGTCTTACCTGAAGGGGTAAACAACACTCCCTTACTCATTTGCTCCACACATCCTGATTTATAGCCCTCTCTTTATCCTTTCCCCACTCAGTCATGTTCTGTAACTCTCAAAGGAAGTGCCTCAAAAGAGGGCCAGTCATTTTAAGGCAGGAGAGCCTCTTTGCCCATAGCTCACTGCACCTTAGTTTGGGTCTGTTTTCCCTTCCCCTTTTGGGACACCATCGCTGTCAGTTAAGTGTTTGTAAAGCTCTGGCTAGAAATTACTCCCTGCTGTAATTTCTTCTCAGACTCAGAGGGTAGCCATGTTAGTCTGTAACTTAAAAAAACAAATGGTCCTGTAGCCCCTTAGAAACTAACAAACATTAATGTAGTAAGTTTCCTTCACCTTCATAAGCTTTGTTCTTAAGTTTAACCAGCATATTTTAAAAACTTTCACCAATATTTTTGTAAGACTAGTGAACCCTGGTATTCTGGGCCAAAAGCATTAATCAGAAATACTCACCCAACTATCTCTGGGTGCATCTACACTGCATCCTTAGCTTAAAATAAGCTACGCAATTTGAGCTACGCAAACAAGTTAATTTTGAAATAGCGCACTATTCCCAAACATCCCTTAATCCTCGTGGAAACATCCTCATGGTGGAATGAGGTTTACAGGAATGTCAGAATAGCGCACCCATTATTTTGAAAGCTATTTTGGAATAGGGGGCCCACTGTCGAGACGTGGAAAACACTATTTTAGGATACCAAAGTATTCCAAAATAGTGCTGCTGTCTAGATGCACCCTCTGAGTGCTCTGAAAGGCCAGCCAGCTCGCTCCAGGTATTGTACATACCAGGAGCCACAAGGAACAAGGGTTCTATCCTACCCACTTATCAAGTTTTTTGCAGTTCATCATTCCTAGCCCCTGATGTTGCAAATTTAAGTTTTTTGCAGTTCATCATTCCTAGCCCCTGATGTTGTAAATTTACCAACCATGCAACACAAAAGAGTGCAGGTGCGAGTCAAGTCATTTTTCCATAGTTATCTTTAACCTTGTGTTTCCAAAACCTCCCCACCACAATATGTTATTTCATGTGATGTTGCCCAGTAGACAGCAGCTAAATACTTACATGGAATTTAGCCACTAGTGGGCCATGCAGCTGGTGTGCGAAGGAGGGGAAGAGAGAGGAGGTTCTCTACACACAATTTCACAAATGGGTCAGAAAGGCAAAAGTAGGCAGAATGAAAATTGGGGTGAAAAACAACACACCAAAAAGTCAGGAAATTCTCCCTGGCGTTCTCAGCTGTGGCACTAGTGGAGTCTTCATTTATTGGTTGGTGAGGAGCAATGGGAGTCTTAAACAGCAGAGTTTCTGGCATCTAGAATTTTTTTCACCACAGCTGCATCATGTGAAATTCCATCATTTTGTTTTTGAACCGAAGTGAAAAGGTCAAGCGCTCAACCTGGGCAGAGCAGCAGCCGAGTTACAGAACCCCCCCAATTTCCTGAGGTTGCCATTCTCAGAACAGGTAGGGGGAGAGAGAGATCCCCTTACAACTGGCAGACCCATTAGAACTCAGTAAAGGGCCTAGAGGAGACCCTGTTTGTACGGTGCCACCACCAGCCACGAATGCAAGGGCTGGGGACAGGGCAGTCACCATTGTGCAGTAGAACCTCAACAACACAAGCACCTCAGGAACAGAGGCTATTTGTAACTCCGAACAAAATGCTTTGCGTGTTTTCCAAAGCTTACCACTAACCGTTGACTGAATGTAGCTTCAAAACTTTACCACACTAGGGAAAAAATGCTGCTTTTAAGTTACCATCTTCATTTGAATGAAACAAGCACAGAAACCATTTCCTCGCCTTGTCAACTCTCACACCCTCCCCCCCCCACACACACTTTCCCTTTATTTTTAGAAGTTTAACAGCACTGAATGTATTTGGTGTGCCTTTCTGCTGCTGCCTGATTGAGCACTCCCAGTTCAAAATGAGATGTGTGCTTGACTGGTAGGTTCCTAACTCTGGTGTTTGTAATGCTGAGGTTACACTAATTGAACCCTGGGAAGTTTCTAGTGCTTAGGAAAAATAGCCCTGACCTTTGAGGTGTTGCAGTTATGACCAAATAGCTGTCTGGGTTTGATTTGCAATGTACTTACCCTGTACAGTCCACAGGCTAAGGGCTTATCAGTTTAACTCCCTTCAGCTACTGAGCATACACACACATATAGGGCTGCAAACTCTGATTTCGCTGCTAAGCCCAAGCCACAAGGTGGCGCTGGCAGCCACGGAACAAGCTCCCCAGCCAGGCTCTGCAACTGCTACTTGGCTAGACACCTTTCCTTCCAAGACTTATTTCCTCCACTACAAGTCTCTGAGTGGAGCCTCACCATTCACCAGGAAGCTGGTGTGTAACGGTGTTAGTTCAGCTTTCCTAGTAAAGCCCTAAGATTACTCCAAGTATGCATTTTGCGTAGCTGCAGTTGTGTACCTTAAGCCTTCCTTCCAGGTTCAGTGTAGATCTGCCCTCAGTCCACTAACAGCTTAGCCCTGCCATATTATCTGTGGGCAGAAGAACCCACATTTCACTTTAGCTGGGTTGTGAGCAGCTGTAAGGATCCACCCATGTGGATCTCTAAGGTGCTACAGGACCATTGTTGTTTTTAAAATTTTGTTAGTTACAGATTAACATGGCTACCTCTCTGAGACTTTCAAAATGGTTATAGTATTACATTCACAACACAACTTTCAATGGCTTTTTAGTCTCAGATATAACTAGAACTAGTACCTATATACATTTTTATATTACCAGATTATTTAATTTACAAAGTACAGCAATGAAGGGAGAACATTAAATCCTTTCTTTTACGAAATTGCAAATATTCCATGGAGTTGCTTCATAGTATCCTACTACAGTTTTCACTTTGTCTATACAGGGCTTTATAGTGTGGCTACTTTACAAAGATACAAGGAATTTAGCGTCTACACTATAGATACAGGCACACATACATTGTCTCATAGATACCGCAAGAGGAAAGTCCAAATCCTGCTTTCACATTAACAAGTACAACTCTCACTGAATTCAGTGTGCTGTGTGCAAGTATCTAAAGTCAATTTGGCTCAATGACTTTAAAGACTTACCAGAAATTATTTCTGATGCAGTAATATTTATAGTATAGATTCTTTAACTATGTAAAGAAATTTCAATGAGGTTCAAGAATAAGGCTCCCTTGGGTCATTAATGGTGCAGGCCAGTGTTTTTCAATTTCAGGCCTGTGGACCCATGTCGTCCACAGACTATGTCCATGAGGGTCTGTAAAAGGTCATTGTTGCCATAGAACAGTGATTTTTCAACTGTGATCTGTGGACAACATGGGGGTCCACAGAGTACATCTAAGATTTCCAAAGGGGTCTGACCTACATTTCAAATTTTTAGAGGTTAACAACAACTCTCTGACTATGGTTATCCAGCCAATTATGCACCCATCTTATTGTGGCCCTATCTAAGTTATATTTGCCTAGTTTATCAATAAGAATATCATGTGAGACCGTATCAAATGCCTTACTAAAGTCTAGGTATATGACATCCACCGCTTCTCCCTTATCCACAAGGCTCGTTATCCTATCAAAGAAAGCTATCAGATTAGTTTGGCATGACTTGTTCTTCACAAACCCATGCTGGCTATTCCCTATCACTTTATTACCTTCCAAGTGTTTGCATATGATTTCCTACATCACTGGGGCAGGCAGTGGAGTCTGAGCAAAGTTTTGGTCACAGATCTATAGGCTCAGAGTCTGTGTTAGTCTGTAACTTTAAACATAATGAGTAGCCCTGTGGCACCTTAGGGACTAACAAAAATAGATCCATACAGAGGCAACTCTCTGGTTTCTTCACGATGGCGTTGTGAGTGTCATATCCCAACACACTCCAAACCACCATCCTAATTGGGGGCCTTGGTGAAGCACTCTAATCATAACTTTACTGCTCTGCTCTCACCTTTATTTTAATCTTCTCTCAATCCAGAACCATTGACCTCCATTCCAAACTTTTTCCAAAATAATTCTTACCCATTACAAAGATAGCTTCCCCAATTATCACCTCTAATATCATTAGCTCACAGACATTTACCTCCCCCCCCAATCTCCCTTCTGTTCTGAAATTTGATTTGTCCTTTTCATATGTGTTCATTTTTTAAATTGTATCCTTTGGTTGTGACAATATGGTTGTGACAATTTTCTTCCACTATTTGATCTGAGGAAGTGGCTCTGGCCCACGAAAGCTCATCACCTAATAAACCATCTTGTTAGTCTTTAAAGTGCTACATAGTCCTGTTTTTTGTTTCAATCACCTCCACCAGGCTTAGAACCCAGGACCTCCAGCAAGACATGCCTCTTGCTAGGAGCAACTTCATGTGCAGGCTGCAGTAGGAGGCTAAGAGAATGAGCCACGCAAGAAGGGCTGGCCAGTGCCTCAATCCATCAAGTTTAGCTACTATTACCCTCACTATTAGGCTTCCCTGTTCTGAAGCTATTGCCTTCCTCTGGGTGACTGTAGTTTCCTCCTCTGGAGTCTAAATGCCATTACTCATCAAACACACACAAGCCTGGCCCATCTCATACACACCTAGGAATGGAAACAAGGCACCCACACCCTTTGAAATCCACATACCGTTAGGCATAGTCTATACCACACACTTTTAGCGACAAGGCCCTATCGCTAAAGCAGTCTGGCAGTGTAAGCACTGTTGGCACATGTGGACAAAATACTCGCAACTCCTCTGAGCAGGGTTGGGATTTGCATTGTGGGTAGGAGAATACATCTGTTCACACTGCCACAGCAGACGTGTCTTTTGGGGTGGAGGTGGGAACTTTTTAAAGCGCCAATGAGTGACAGAGTTGTTCAATTGGCAGTGTAGACAAAGCTGTAGGCAGGTAGGGTAATAACAAACCTGCCTACATCACAAGCCCATCCTCTGCTTCAGAACACTCTCATGCATTTGTTTGCCCCTCCCTTTCTTCCCGGACTTGCATTTGCTATCCCTGCACACCAAATACTATTACATTGCTGTGAGTCTCTCTCAACAGACCAGAGATTTCTTCCATGCTTCCTCCCCCCTTGTTTCCAGTCCCATTTCAGGATCCTCTTCCCTGTGGGCAGCAGCTTCTTATACATCTGCATGCTCCAGTGTAGGTCTGCTATATGTTAATAGCACACACACCTCAACAATTGGCTAGGTCAAGTCACAGACGTCATCCATCATACCCCTATCAGAGGCAAGGGAAGCAGGGCAGCCTGCTCCACACCACACCAGCCCAGGAGCAGTGCCGTTCTCAGCTGTTCATCACTTTCCCTCTGCCGTTTGACAGGGGGCTGCTTCATCAGGGCCTCATGTTTACCAGCCTGGGACACGTTGGGTTGGCGCTTGTTTGGCATTTGCCTGGTCTTGTGACATGGTGATGGACTGCAGGCCTGGCATTAGGGCAAGGCGATTGCCTTGGGCCCTGCGCTGACTGGCTGCCCGGACACTTGCTTGCTGCCCTGGCTGGGAGCCGCCCAACACAGCCAGCCACAGCGTGCTGCCTTGGGCCCCACAAACACTTTGGCCGGGTCTGATGAGCTGCAGGGCAGCTGGTTTATTTTCCTCAGTTTGGGGCTGCTGCCCTCTAATGAGGTCAGTAAACATGGAGCTAAGAGTCCCACACGCTTGCCGTGACCCTTCCCTGGGAGTAGCAGATTATGGCTGGTACACACGGCAGTCTTGCACGCACCTCCTCTCACCCCCCTGAACAGCAAGGATTAGAGCATTAGTAATCCCCAGACATCAGCCTGCAGAGGGTCCAGCCAATCCCTCCCTACCCCAGAAGCAGGCCAGTGGAGGGATGGGCTTAAACAGCCACACTTGGGGCAATTATTTTGAGTCTGAAGATGGGGGCAGGGCAGAGCTACTGGCCTTCATCTCTATCCCCAGCAGGACCAATGCACAGGCAGGCACTTTAGCCACACAAACCCCCACTAGCAGAAATTTCCCAGGGCCCCCTCTACACTATTGTTGACAGCCACTCCCACTTCACAAGTGGGAGCACATCTGGTGCAGGACTGCAGCACTTAACACTGCTCCTCCTGTTACGGGGGCAGCCTGCCTACCTTGTGCCTGCCAAACCCAGTAAGCCAGTCCCTGCTCCCGGCAGGAGGATTGCCCAAATTGCATTGCACCACTAGCTGAGCCAGCCCAGGGGTGGTGCCCAGGTTTCCCCCCCCCCCCCAACCGCACTAGCACAGTAGGGAAGCATGTTAGGGCAGCGTCTAGAGAGCTGTTCCAGGAAAATGCTTCTGGGGGAAGTGCTGAAACACGTTTGCCATTGGCAGTTACAACACGTCTCTCTCCATAGCACAGCCAAGGTGCTAAATCTGGGGATTGCTCAGAGCCCCCAGGCTGCCTGCTTTAGAAGGATTTAGCCATCCAATGAACACACAAAGTCAGAAAGGATTTTTTCCTAGTAAAGAATTTCTCTTGAGCTTAATAGTACAATTCTACCCCGATCGCGCACACAGAAATAAAACATCCACAGGGAAAAAACATTGCCACACAAATTTTTTCTTCTAAAAAATCAGTGTGATTGGAAACCTTATTTCAGAAAAACAAAGTATTTAAAAAGTTTACATTCCACATTCCAGTATTCAAAACCCAGATCGGTTCTGTCTCCAGAAGTAACCTGACATTGAAAGAGATTCTCACCTGCAGTTATTGGTCACTGTGCTTGGCCCAAACATCCCCAGCCCTGTGGGAACAAACCCTCTGGGTACAACATGGCAAAAGAAGCCCTGCTGGTCTAAGTAGCCCTAGGGAGTGAGATCCTTTGGAAGCCTGGGACAAAAGGTTCAGTGATACTCAGGGTGCCTGTTTCATGGCATTCACACAAGTGCTCAGCTGGACTGATTCAACTGCAATGCTCTCAGAGTATGTTCAGACCAGCGGATTTGACAGGGTGGATCATTGTGGACGGAAACCCCAGGTCAAAGGTTAAAAAAACCCAAATACATAATGACTCTTGGAAGGAAGGTTGTTGCTTCTTGGCCAAACTGGAGCTTAAAATGCACGGAAGCCCAAGGCTAAGAGATTCAGACAGGTCTAGGGATTTTGGGTGCTTACCTGCAGACATGCGGCCCCTCAGAGCCAGTCAGGCCCTTTTCAGAGATCTCAAGTCAGGCACTCAAAATCCCATGTCACCCCTGAATGTCTTCCCTGCATTTACATGGATTAATCTTTCAGTGAAGAGCCGGTGAGAGAGTGAAAGGGGCCCCGTGGTGTCCACTGTAAACACACAGGGTTTGTTTCAGGCCCATGATACGGTCCAACCCCTTACCATGCACGAGCCCTATGCTATTGACACTGAATTCTCTGAATATTAACACTGCTCTGGAAATGCAAAAAGGAGCCATTGTGCTTTTTTTCCTTTAGTTTACAGTAGAGAAAAACCAAATTGTGCAATCCAAGTGCAGGGAAAAGGACTCTGCTCCCTAGCGAAACTGGAGATGGGAAAGAAAGCGAGATGCTGGTGAAGATTTGGGTCAGAGGCTGGAGAGCTGGATAACTCTCCTTTCCTCCCTGGGGAGGCAGGGCTTTCAGAGATTGCTGAACAGTTCATTTTTCTTGCTCCAGTCCATCTGCGGTGCCCTCTTGCTGGTACGTTTCTGGTGTGCGCGCTCCTTAGCCACTGCCAGGGGAACGTTGAGGTCAAGTAGCGGATCTGGTGTGGAGTTTCGCTTCTCCTCCTCTTGAGAGTCAGGCTGCAAAGGTGACCAACATGCAAATTGAGTGTTAAAGCAATCCTCCCCATCTCCTCCGCTTGAGCATATGGTCTGCCTTTATCCCCTACTGTCCTAAGTCTTCTTCCCTTGCCTGAAGCCCAGTTTATTATTTCCTTAGGCCACTATTTGTAGACCAGATTGCCTACAATTATCTTCTGAACAAGCCCCAGGTTTCTAGGCTGATCTAGAGATCAGAGCCATTTCATATGAAGAATATGCAGCTACACAGGGCACCCAGAAATTTGGAGCACCATTGTGTCTTAATGTCCACCCACCCACCCCTTCCTATCTCTGGTCTGTGGTTTTGCTTTCTTTCCAAGAGGCTCTAGGTAAAAGTGAAAGAGCCACGCAAGTGGGAATGAAGCCATTTGTCAACCCCAGATATATACGGTCAGTTTCTGAATTTACTGTGTTAGTCTACTGGACTTTAGTTTAAAATGTACTTGAAAAGTATTTCGTTTCTGTCGAAGATTTTTTTTAAAAAGTCACATCTCTAAAAATGTCATCCCCCAGCTGCCATCAGGCATAAGGGCACCAGTTTAATAGAACTGTGTAGAGCCCCCTAAATCCTATGGACGGCCCTGCTAGAGAGATGCTGAGTGGGCGACACTCAGCCCCTTTGGGCATCAGGCCATTTTTGTTTGAGAGAGACTGACCCTTGCAGAAAGGGTTCAGTCGTTGCTGGCCTAGGTGATGCTTTTCCAGACCTGGCCCTAGAAAGGTATGAGCCCACAGCTACACATAAGGGTTCCTGCTGTTCCATCAAGGAGAAGTGGTGACTCTCCAAGGCAAAGGTCTCTTCCCAGACAACAGGGGGTGCTGTCTCCCTAATTTCCTCCCCCAGCCCCCACATAAGCCAAGGTGGCAAATCCTAGACCTCTCCCTGCTTCTGCTTCAAGTCAGCAGCTGTTCCCCCAGATGCAACCCCAAACCGTGCCCCGCGGGTGCTCTTTTGGACCTCATTGTGGATCTCTTTTGAAGGGAAGGACACAGACACCGGCTCTGGACTCGATGGACTTTCAGACACAGACTCTGGCCGCTGCTCTCTGCTGTCCTCCTGAAAGGAATGAAACCACATGAGACTGAGCTGCCGCCTCCCCAGCCAGGGGGGGGGCAGGCCATACAGCCCGCATACTCCCATCTTTTCCCAGCCATTCCTGCCACCGTTCTCTTCTATGCAGTGGATCCCATAGAAGAGCTAGGCCTCACTCTGAAGTCACATGGAGGGGTAGGTCTGCCAGGAGACGGCCGGGCGAGGCCCAAACGCAGAAATGCTACTCTTGAAACAGCCCGAGAATGAAAATTGTCCCGAGAGCTGAAAGTCAGCGGCAGTAGATCCAGAAGTTTGCTGAGCTCAAGTGCCTTACACAGGCAGGACCATGGGGGAGAGGGGAGAATCTGAGAGGGAGGGGGCACCCAAAGGTGGGTGCGACAGGCAGTGCAAAGGCAGATGAGTAGGTAACTTAATATGGAGCCAAATCCATCCGCAGAGCTCCTGCCTCTGACAACTCCAGCTATGTGCCCTGCATGACAGGTCAGGGCCCTAGAGAGTCCCACAGTGGAGGAGCCCTGTTTCCCTGCACTCCACCTCCACCCTTCGGCTTTGTGCTTCTTAGGGGGATCAGAGGGGCTGGCAGCTGCTCAGCTCCATTTAGCAGGAGCCAGAAGGGAAGGCAGGATTAGCCAAAATGCCAGAGCTCCCATTAATACCGCCCTTCCCCCCGCCCCCCAAGCCAGTGCGGGAATGTCACTCCAAGCCAGCGCCTCTCCAGTCTCAGAAGCCCACCACAGATTGCAGGGAACTAAGTGCTGCCCTGGGGACGGAGATGCAGACAGCTTGGGTGTCCAGAAGGTCCCTGCGATTCCCTGGGGAGCGGTTTGAAGTAGATTAATTAGCTCCTCCCTCAGTGGGATCTGTAAGTGGGGGGGGGGGTGTCTAGGAAATCCTTCTTCCAAGCACATAAGCTGCTGACCAGCTGCAGCTTAATAAGCATTTTCTGGACAGGCTGCAGCACGGCCTGTTCAGGGCTGGGAAGGATTAAACACAGCAGTTGAGCTGTAGGGACGTGAACGACTAGTCGATTATCTGATAAGCAAATGCTGCTGTTCCCTTCAACAGCAGTGGTGCTCATGTGTTTGGCACCCAGCTTCTATACAGCTGCACCTACATGAGACAGCTCAGCTAGACTTGGGTAAGGAGCCGGGGGAGGAATCCATTCTTGATCCCTAACTCCTTTCCAACATACAGGCTGTTCCCACCTGCTGACACCAGTCTGGAAGGAAGCCTGACGGAACTATCCCAGTGCCAAGATTTGCATATTCCTCACCCATGGCATTTTTCCCTTGTCTGAAACAACACTGGGGTCTCTCCTCCCTCCTTTTCTTGATGTATATTAAGATTTCCCGGCAGACGCCTTCCTTTCTGCTGCACCCATGGTTAATGAGGTTTTGTTTTTCCAAACCAGACTGGAAGTAACGAGGCCTTTGGATGAATGGCCTGATTAGGAAGGGGCTGGACTCCCCTGGGGAAGAGAATGGCCCATTCTTTGGAGAAGGGGTGGACCCAGACAGTGAGGGACATGTCTTAATGCGTCCAGTGAGTGGTGCTGAAGGAGTTGGCTCTCCCTTCCTTTGCAAAGGTCAGCCCAGCCCTGGCGCACAAGCTGGGAATGTGACAGCTTCGGGGTGGGGCAGAACGCCAGGGAAGAGGAGGCGCTGGTACTGCAGGGACAGCAAATACAGCATTTAGATGCCATCTATTAAAAAAGTTTAGACTTGGCACAATCTTTACCTTCTCTACTTCGCCATTGGCAACTGGCTCTGGCAAGGGACCTGGGGAAGAAGACAGAGACATGCAGTTACAAAAAACCTGCAAAATCCTCTTACCCAGCACCCGCTGCCTTGATTCGTTCTTATAGCTGGGCACCAGGATACTGCTTTTCTGGAAAAATGGGGTTGCTGATTCAGTGGCCTCCCAGCTTTTCCCATGCACTGTATTAATGGCCCAGAGCTTGGGGTAAGGCAGGATGTGCCATCCCACAGACAATGCTGTCACTGAGATTGCCTTTGTACTGGCAGAGTCAAATCAGCCCCACATCACTCCCCATAAAATTATCCCGGAGAAGGGAGAAGAGAAGAAGAGCGGGGAGGGAAACTCCCCAAAAAGGCCGAGAAATGCCACTGACATGCCAACTGTTCAGCATGCCACTCCCCGTTACCCTGAAAGAGCCAATGGCCATTCTGTTCCTTACTGCCGACATGAGACCAGATCCTGTTGTGATCAGAGGTTAGTCTGTGCGGACAGGGCGTGTGGAAGAAACCAGCTCATACTGACTCCTAATGCCAGCTGAAGTCACTCGCCCAAAAGGGGGGGGGGGGTGAGAAAAATTCACCTCAAGTGAATCTGGAAGTTCTACAGAACGGCCACAGACCAGGCAGCAGCAAGACAAAAAGCACATCTGAAGGCATCCCAGAAGCCTAGCGCACCGGCCACTGCTCAAAATAAAGCCCATTATATTATTATTATAATTATAGGCCAGACTTTTCATTTCTACCCCTGCGCCCTGGGAACTCAGATTTCTGCCTGGAGTAAATAGCCTGGCTCACGCCTCCCGTAGCGCCTCCTCCCCCACCCCACTTCTTAGGAGAAAAAGCACATCTGAAGGCATCCCAGAAGCCTAGCGCACCGGCCACTGCTCAAAATAAAGCCCATTATATTATTATTATAATTATAGGCCAGACTTTTCATTTCTACCCCTGCGCCCTGGGAACTCAGATTTCTGCCTGGAGTAAATAGCCTGGCTCACGCCTCCCGTAGCGCCTCCTCCCCCACCCCACTTCTTAGGAGACGGAAATGGCCCTCAAAGCCAGATTGCTAGGCAACCAAGGAGCCAACATACATCCATAGGACTGCTGTCCCCCTCCCCCACCCCAGCCATGGACAAAGTGCCATTTGCTATGGAGATCCAGCCCCCTGCCACTGTGCCCCAGATCTACGGCATCTTCCCCACCCAAAAGGAGCACTTGCCACGGGACAACTAACCCTTGGAAACCCCTCATGAAGGGGAGACTCCTAGTTCCCACTGCCATGCAGTGAGGTGACGGGGGTAGAGTTTTGGCCTCACCTAGCGACTACGTGGCAGATGCCAGTACCTTGCCTCCACTAGGATTTTGTAGTAGGACAGGCACTATGTGAGAGTTTTCCTGTTGTGACCCCTTCTGCCCTCCCCACCCAAACCCTTTTGTACCATGAAAATAAGGGCTTGTCTGCCTAGATCAGGTGTGCCTGGAGAGAGTTAAAACAGAACTTCCCTCACACACTAAACCACAGCTGAGCCCAATTCTGAGGTGCCACTTACATCTCGTTATGAAGGCATGCACCAGGCCAGGCTATTGTGGTAGGAGATGGAAGTTAACAGGATTAATTAAGAGATTCCAGAGAGCTTCCTGCTTCCCTTCCCCCCACCTCCCAGGAGGCACATAAAAGGGTCACACTTAAACAAATAGTTCTGCAGCACCGTAGAGACCAACAAAAAATGTAAATGGTATCATGAGCTTTCATAGGCACAACCCACTTCTTCAGATGACTGGAGTAAGGGATCCAAGGTACAGATAGAGAGAGAAAGAGGGGATGAGGAAGGAAAAAAAATATTGTTAGTGTCTGTGCTAAATGAGGCTAATAGAATGGGCTAGAAGTACCCAGTGCTTAGCTTTGTGTCATTAGGGTGTGGAATGTAGAGGCCCATCCAGGTTAGGTCTTTCTTCACGCCTTGATTACAGGTGTCAAACTTGTAAATTAAACCATGTTCTGCAGCTTCTCTCAAGCTGGTTTTTGACATTGCTTTGTAATTACTAGTATAGTCACTTTTAGGTCCATGAGTGAATGCCTGGGCAAGTTGAAATGTTCAACACATTTCTGTGTGTTGCCATTTTGAATATGATTTGTGTCCATTAAGTGTGTGTCAGACACTTTCCACTTTGGCCAATATACATGGCAGAAGGGTATTGTTGGTGCATAGATCACATTGGTGGATGTTCAGTTGCATGAGCCTCTGATATGGCTTGGCTATAAACAATTGATTGAGAAAGGCATCTTTCCACAGGGATTTCAACAACTTCTACCCCACCAGCAAACTTAGCCTGGACCAATCCACCCAAGAGATCCACTTCCTGAACATTAAAGTACATTTAAACGACAGCCACATTTCCACCACCTTATACTGGAAACCTACCAACTATTACACTTACCTACATGCTTCTAGCTTCCATTCAAGACACATTTCCCAATCAGAGCCTGGCTATCAACTATTAAGATACAACTGGATTTGCTCCAATCCCAGAGGCAAACACCTACAGGATCTGTCAGAGATCCTTAAAACTTAAATACCCACCCAGGGAAGTGGAGGAAAAAAAAAAAAAAAAAAAAGGATTGACAGAGCCAGACGAGTACCCAGGCATCAGCTTCAAGAGAGGCCCAACAAAGACCACCACTGGTCATTACCGAGAGCCCCCAATTTAAACCCCTCTAGCGCATCATCAACAACCTCCAACCTATCCTAGAAAACGACCCCTCGCTCTCACAGGTCTTGGGAGACAGGCCAGTCCTCACCTACAGACAACCCCCAACCTGAAAAATTCTTTCCAGCAACCATGCAGCACACCTCCATCACACTCAACCAGGAATCCACCCCTGCAATAAACGTGAGTGCCAACTCTGTCCACACATTTATACAAGCAACATCACCACAGGACCAAACCACACAAGCCGCCACATCAGAGGTCATACAATTCCAAATCCACATATACTAATGTGATCTATGCACCATCAAGTGCCAGCAGTGCCACTCTGCCATGTATATTGGCCAAACTGAACAGTCTTTATGACAAAGGCTTAACAGACACAAATCAGATATTCAAATACACAGAAATCTGTCAGGGAACATTTTAACTTGCCCAGGCACTCACTCATGGATCTAAAAGTGACTAAAAACCAGCTTGAGAGAGAAGCTGCAGAACTTGGCTTCATTTACAAGTTTGACACCTGTAATCAGGGTTTGAACAAATACCTGACCTGGATAAGCCGTTACATTTCACACCCTAATGACATTTCACACCCTAATGACAGAAAAAGCTAAACACTGGGTACTTCTAGCCCACTCTATTAGCCTCATTTAGCACAGACACTAACTAACAATTTTTTTCCTTCTTTTCCCCTCCCCATACCCTTTCTTTCTCTCCTATTTATTTGTACCTCGGACCCCTTACTCCATTCATCTGAAGTGCATTGTGCCCACAAAAGCTCACGATATCAACAAAAAAATGTAGAATCTCTCTAGGGTGCTGCAGAACTGTTCGTTGTTTAAGTTTTCAGTTACAGATGAACACAGCAACCTCTGAAAAAAAAGGGTCACAGGCAGTCAGAGCACATGCCGTTCATTTCAAGGCCTCACTTCTGCTGGAGGGGGAGGAAACGAAACCCAACAAAGGCTCAGCCCATAGGAGCCGGTGAAAGCTTAGGCATAAATGGCAGATACCTCTAAGCTGGAGGTTTCTGGCTGGCTCATTAAACTCTTGTCAACGTCTGCTCTGCAAACTGTTCTCCTTCTGAGCCAAACACTGGATTGCCTGTTGTGGAACTGGACTGCCCCCCCCAGCTCTGCTGGCCCAGCTGGCCATTCAGTTCTCTGCTACTAAGCAAGACTTATTCTTCCTCAGAAGCAGCTTTTGGATTTGGAGAATAAATATAAAATGGGAATGTTTTAAG